CAGGGAGCGATCTTGCGACCTAGGTATGTGCCCTTGACTAGGATTGAACCTGGGACCCTTTAGTCTACAGGCCGATGCTCTATTTGGGCCAAATCGGCTAGGGCTACAATCGGTTTTTACACATGTTTGTGTGCTTTTGAGAAGAAGGCGTAGTCTCTCATCCACAATATCTTTCCTGTTGAGTCTTCTCTCTCCTTATTATTATCTACCGGGCCCGGCTTGTACTAAGAGCCATTAGTGAGTTTTTTTTTGACTTCTTGTGTCTTCTGTAGTTTGGCTTTATATAGGTTTAGTACAGAGGTATCTAGAAGTATCATATATCCATTGTGGATTTCAGCTTTTAGTGTTAGGAAGTGTCTGGCTTTGTCAAATTTAACGCCTTTTGGCTAGAATTCAACTTTGTTGATATCAGGATTTCAATCTCTGCTTTCTTATTGTTTCCACTTGCCTGGTATAACTGTCTAATTGCAGCCTTTTGGAACAACTTTAACATTTTGTTTCTTATTGGTTTTTACATTCCGAGTATGAGTTCTTTATCAGATATAGTTTGTGAATATTTTCTCCCTGTCTGTAGCCTTTTTGTTGTTGTTGTTGTTGTGTAGCCTGGTTTGGATTTCTTTACTGCCTCTCGATGAGAATTGTGATGTTGCGCTTCATCCCTGTGAGACTGGAGTTGATCCATTTTCAACTTTGTGGAGTATTCTATTGTAGGAATGTTCCACAATGATCGCATTCAGCAGATGATGGCCGTTTGGATTGTTTCTGGGGTTTTTTTTTTGTGTGTGTTGTTTTCTTTTACTGTACACAATACCGCTATAAGCACTCCTGCACAAATCTCTTTGTGTGCGTGTGTGAGAATTTCTGTAGGATGTTTATCTAAGAGTGGGGTTGCTGAGTCATAGAGTGTGCAAAATATAGATTGTTTTCCCAGATTGTTTTCCAAACGGATCGTGTCAGCTTATGCTCCCTCTGGCTTGGTAAGGGGTTCCAGTTGTCCCACATCTTGGTCAACATTTGACAGACTGTTTAATTTTTTAATCATTTGCTGGAAGTGTAGTTATGTCGCATGGCAGTTTTGACAGGCATGTCTAAGATTATTAATTAGGTTAAACATATGATTATCAGCCACTTTTGGTTCTTGTGAAATATCTGCTCAAGTCGTTTGATCATTTTTTCTTTTTTGGTGTTTGCTTTTTTTATGGTATTTAAGTTTTTTTTATTTTTCCACTATTGGTTTTTTTGTTTTTTTTTTAGAGTGGAAGGAAAGAAGGGTGGAAGGGAGGGGGAGAGGAGAGACAGAAGGGGGAATGGGGAGAAACATTGAAGTGAAAGAGACACATTGATTGGTTGCCTCCTGCATGAGCCCCAACTAGGGCCGGGGATTGAACCTGCAACCCAGGTATGTGCCCTTGATTGGGAATCGAACCCACGACCCTGTGGTGTTCAGACTGGTGCTCTAACTACTGGGCAACACTGGCCAGGGCTTTTTTACGGTATTGATGTGTGTGATTTTTATGCCCTCTCCTCCTGTAGTGTGCTTTTTATATTGTTAAACCTACAAAAATGTTATAAGCATAGTATATAATGAATACCTAGGTATCCTTCACCTGTGATCACCAATTGTTAGCATTTTCCCACATTTACTTTACCACTCTGCCTATATATTTACATGTACATAGAAATAAAGAAATTTTTTTTCCTGAAGCATTTGCAACAGATTGCAGACATCATGACATTTCACCTCAAAAATACTGTAGCATAGGAATAAAGACAGTCTTCTACATAAAACACCATTACCCTTCCCGAGAAAATGAACAAAATTCCACATTACCTGCAGTCCATATTCGGATTTCCTCAGTTGTCCCAAGCAATTTCTCTGTGGGTCCTCTCCTTTTTTAATGTTTTGTTGTTGTTGTTTGTTTGTTTCCTTTTTGTTTTTGTTTTGTTTTTACTTTTAGAGAGAGGAAGTGAGAGGGATAGAGAGATAGAAACCTCTGTGAGAGAGAGGAATATCATCCATTGGCTGCCCCCTACTGGGCATCGAGCCTGCAATCTGGGCATGTGCCCTGACTGGGAATCGAACCGGCGTGTGGGTTCCCCCTTTTTGATCCAGGATCTAATCATGATTCTTGTGCTGCTTTTGATCTTGATGGTTAATTTACAAGAGTTGCCTGGCTTTTGCTTTTGTTGTTTTTCTTGACCGTGACCTTTGGATAAGTCCACGCTAGTTGTCTAGTCCCATAATCTGGCTGTGTCTGCTTGTTTCCTGCACGCCTTGGCATGGCCGCGCGAGGATGGCGCCACGTCTTCTTGCCTCTCCCCGGGCGATCGGTGATGTCAGTGTGTTTACTATTGGCAGTGCCAGTTTTGATCAGATGGTGAAGGTGGTGACAGCCAGATGCCTCCATTGTAAAGGAATCTTTTCCTTTTGTGATTAGTTAATAACCAGAAGAGTAACACCTTGGCTCTATGCAAATCACCTGTTTCCCAATAACCTTTTTAACCAGTTGGGTCCTTTTTCAGATCTGATTGGTGATTTTTATAGCCTTTTGCTCTCTACGTGTAGTTTTAGCTACTTCTTTTTCTTTAAAACCATTGAGCATTCCTATTTTCAATATACCTGAATGCTCTGCTCTGGAGGTCTAGTTCTGCCTCCTGTTGTTTTTCATGGCTCTCACGCATGGTGCCATGCTTCCTTATTTATTTTTATTAGTTTTTTTTCCCCTTCTTTTTAAATATACTTTTATTGCTGAAACCGGTTTGGCTCATTGGATAGAGTGTCGGCCTGGGGACTGAAAGATCCAGGGTTCGATTCCTGTCAAGGGCAAGTACCTTGGTTGCGGGCACGTCCCCAGTGGGGGGTGTGCAAGAGGCAGCTGATCAGTGATTCTTTCTCATTGATGTTTCTAGCTCTCTATCCCTCTCTCTTCCTCTCTGTAAAAAATCAATAAAATATATATTTTTTAAAATAAATAAATAAATATACTTTTATTGATTTCAGAGAGGAAGGGAGAGGGAGAGAGAGAGAGAAACATCAATGATGAGAGGGAATCATTGATTGGCTGCCTCCTGCACGCCCCCTACTGGGAATCAAGCCGCAACCTGGGCACGTGCCCTTGACCAGAATTGAACCTGGGACGCTTCACTCGCCAGTGCTGATGCTCTATCCACGTCCCCACCACCATGGCAGCCACAGTCACCGAGAAACCGCGAACCGGACAGACAGGCTTCCTCCGGGAAGAAGCCTTGGCCAGGGGGTTGATGCCAGGCTTGGAGGGGGTTCCAGGCCTAGGACACAGGCCCGCAGGGGGGGCTGCGGGCTGCAGCTGGGCATATGCACGGGCAGCAGAGGCTCCCTTCTCCTCTCCGGGACATAAGCCCACCAGGCTGCTGCCACTGAGGGGACACAGGGGATGCTGTCATTGCTCATCTGAGGGCTGAGGGCTCCGGGGCTTTTGGGAGCACGTGCAGCCTCGGTTGGAGTGGCTGTCAGAGTTGTGCAGATTGTGTCAGGTTGTCTTCCTTTTTAATTTTCGAAAGAATGTGCATCTCGCTTTGACATCTCGAAGAGCAGGCAGAATGTGAAGCTGTGCTCGGTGGATTGGGCTTCGTGTTCCTTTGCCCTCCGGGAGGGAGAGACAAGTGATCGGACAGGGACCGGCGGCAGCGGCGGCGGCGGCGGCGGCGGCGGCGGCGGCCACATCGCACGTCAGCCTTGCGCAAGGCCGGCCTCCGCTCGGGGCCGCGGCTGCCAGGGGAGATAGGATAATGCGATTATTCTCAATTAGATTAATAAAGAATAATTAGATGTCATAAATCAAGCAATCCCAGGATATTGTCATGGGAAAAATATGTAGGTAGAATTAATTAGTTTTCAAATAAAGCATTTATTTTAATTGCTGGAAATGATGGAGCCCTTAATTGCCGATGCATCATGTTGGCCTGCGCATTTCGGTTGTTGCAACAACGTGACGGGTTTGTTCCCTGCTCTTGTGGGGAAACAATGGAGGAGAACGTGATTTCATCACCTCCGAGCGAGCCTCGTGCTGGTGAGGTTCTGGAAACTCCTTTCTGGCCCCAGGTGGGTGGCAAGTGTGGGCTGGACTTCGGCTGGCACCACATGTGTATGTGTGTGTGCATGCATGTGAGCACACGCCTGTGTGTGTCAATAAGCATGTGCGTGTATATGGGTAGGTGTGCATGTGTGAGCACCTGTGCGTGTATACGGGCGCATGAGCGAGGTGGGAGTGTGCATGTCGGGGCCGCACAGTGGGAGCCTGCAGAGGTGGCCTGCTGGACTCTGAGGCTCGGACTGAGTGGCGGGGTGCCTCCCCATCCTGAATTGGGGCTTTTCTGCTGGGTTGGGGTGCTTTAGCAGGCTCTGCATCCTTGGGTTCCTCTGAACCTGGGGCCCAGCAACTCTGTGCCCTTTGCTGACCCGCTGTTCTTACGGGGTAGGCACAGCCTGGACAAGCCGTGGTTTCTGAGGGCCCAGCAGCTGCTCCTCGGACCCTGTCCACCAAGCCAGCCTGCCCAGGGCCCTCGCGCTCCCTGACTTTTTTTTTTTTTTTGGGGGGGTGGGGGGCCTGGGGTGGGCTCCCTGAGAGACAAACTGGAGCGAGGCCTGGTCAGTAGCAGGACTCAGCCAGGCCTGCCGTCAGGGCGGCCCCTGCGCAGCCTGGGCAGGAGGACCTGGCTGGCCTGAGTGGACAGCGCTCAGGGCCAGGGGGAGCCAGGCAGCCAGGAGGTGTAGCCGGTGCGGCCCAGAGTTCCCGGAGACCGCGGAGGGCTCTGTGCCGGGCAGGCGTGGCTGCAGGAGGCCGTGGCCACGGCTGTGCCCATGCTGGGACTGGGGTGGTCCCACGTGGCTGCAGAGGCCATGGCAGAAGGCAGACGGGATGGACAGCATCCAGGGAGGCCTCCCCCTGCCTTTCTGAAGGGGGACAGCGGGTCACTCACTGCCCTCCCTCGGTCCCCAGGTGGCTGCAGCCCCGCCCAGCATGGCGGCCCCGCCGGACCCCCAGTTCGTCCTCCGGGGCACCCAGTCGGCGGTGCACGCGCTGCACTTCTGTGGAGGAGCCCAGGGGCGGGAGCACCAGCTTCTCCTCTCGGGGTGAGTAGCGGCTGCTGGCCCGCCCTGGGGGCTGGCCCAGGGAGAGGTTTGGGGGGCTAACAGTAAGATGGCGCTTGTTTGGGGTCCTGCTGAGCAGCTCAGGCTGCCTGTCCCCCGGGCACACTTTGAGAGCCCACTGGACATGCTGTCTGTCTGTCCCCTTGGGCCTCACCCCTTGCGGGAGGCAGGGACACACGCCCGTTCTGTTACAGATGCCACCCAGTTTGCACTGTCAGCGGCAGCCCTCCCGCCCTCTGCGGGGAGGCAGGCTCTGCCTGAGGGCCCTCAGAGGTCCCCATTGAGGAAGAGCATGTGCCACTTTAGCCTGAGGGCGCGTTCAGAGCTGCCACCTAATCTAAAGGCTCAGGCAGCTGGAACCCCGATCCACCCGACTGGCCCTGGGGAGCGGGCGGGGCACGGCCACCTCCTCCGACACCTCCTCCCGACCCTGCCCTGCCCTCGTCTGGACAGGTCCCTGAGCGGGCTGGTGCACATCTGGAGCCTGCAGACGCGGAGGGCCATCGCCACCCTGGACGGGCACGGGGGTCAGTGTGTGATCTGGCTGCAGACACTGCCCCAGGGACCCCAGCTCCTCAGGTAGGTCTCCCAAAGGAGCCGGGCTGTGCAGCCTCCCCTGCCATTCAGGCTGCCCCACCCCCAGGGGCAGGATAGGGCGTGACCCCATCCTGAGGCAGAGCGTCTGGGGGTGCTGGGTGCTGTCCCGCTGTGCTCGCTGAGAGGGGCCCAATGAACGCAGAGGATGGCTCTGTCCATAGCCCCATCGCCGGTGGCTGAGCAGACCCCGCCTGCTGCTGCAGCTCCCAGTGTTGGGAGCTGGGGTCCCTGGCCAGGCTGGCCCCGATGTCACCGCCCACACTTGGTACAACGGGCCCTCACAGTCTCCGTCTTTCCCTGAATAGAGTAGGTGTCTTGTCTGAATACCCCACTGAGGCACTTGTTCCAGGAGCTGCCATTTATAAATGCTCCTGCAGAATTTTCCGCTGAGGTGTAGGCCCTCTGGGCATCCTGCTCTCTGGGGCCCAGGCACCTTGGCTGTCTTCTGGGGACCCCTGGCCGAGAGGGCTCGGGCACCTGACGCCTCGCTCTGAGGCTTCAGGCCACGGAGACCTGGGCCAGCGCGGCGCGGGGTGGACAGCTCCCGGTGTAGCCTGTAAGGATGGCACCCCTCCTTCCGGTCCCGATGGCCCCGGGCAGCCCCCCTCCAGTCTGGGCCTGCGGTGAGGAGGCCCGCGGCGCAGACCCTGCAGGCGCTTGGAATGCGCAGGTGCGTTTACGTTGCACTAGAGGCTGTGCGCCCAGCTGTGTTTGCAAGTCAAGTCCCTCCCAAGTGGCTCTTGAGGGCGGAGAGTGAGCTTTCATGTCGAGGAGAGTCTGGAGGACGGAAAGCAAGGAGCCAGAGGCCCCGGCCCGCACCAGGCTGTGCCAGGGGCTCCCGGGACACACCTGCGCGGGTGTGTTTCCCGCCTCTCGCTGTGAGGTGAAGCACACTCACCGGAGAGCGCGGAGAACAAGTTTGCAGACTGCTGTGCGGTCCCAGAGTGGCCACCTGTGCAAGCGGCCCAGCAGCACGCGGACTCTGCAGCCCGCTCCCTGCCTGTCCCCGGAGGCAAACACAGGTGCCACCGGCACGTGCATCTCCGAAAGGCAAAGGCTCGTTTTTGTCTATTTTTGTTGTTGTTGTTATTGTTCTTTACTTAAAAAAGTGGGGTCCCCCAGAGCAGCTTCCTGTGCATCTGACATTGCACTCAGCTCTGTCTTTGCGGGATCCCCCTCGGTGCACGTGGCCACAGTGCACTGCGCGGGCTTCTCCGGGGGGCGTCGCCTGGATATGTGCACCCCGGTGACTTCTGTCCTGCTGTGGATGGAGGTCTGAGTTGTCCACCTGCTGCAGATATGATGGAGGAAGGCTCTCAGCCAGGCCTCCGGGGGATCCTGCACCCACGGATAGAAGGTTCGAGCACACTGGGCTGCCCAGGGAGCACCAGGCTGCACTCGTCCCGGTGCAGTGAGTGCCCCGCCCCCATGCCACCCGGGCCAAGGAGCTCTGGGTGTGGCTGTCCCCGTGCGCGGATCATCTGGGGTGATGGGCGTCGGGCCAGGACAGAGTGTACGCAGCAGCGTTAGCAATTAGGTGGCGGGCGAAGGAGGCGTGGGAGGCCTTCCCGCTGTTCTCACAACTGTCCTGTGCGTTCGACACAAATTCAGAATAAAAAGCTCCTTAAATACAGGCCGGTCCTCGCTTACGGCCTGGCTGCCGTCTTGACCGTGAGTCAGATGCCCTCCGTGTGTGTGAGCATGTCTCTCCTGCATTAGGCTCTGGCTCGTCCTTGTGTGAAGGTCACTGCCACGTCCGGCTCCTTCACAGCCCAGCAGAGCCCAGGGTCAGCCCGCTCCTTAAGAGAGCCACGTGATTCTCAGCCCCCCTAGCGCTCAGGCGTGAACAGCAGCCTGGACACAGCCTCCTGTGGACGGACGGACGCCAGGGCTCCCCAGCCGATGATCCGGCGGCAGCCGGGGTCCCCTCCGGCAAGGCCCTGCCGGCCTCCCGCCTCAGGTCGGCCCCGGCACGCCGGCATCTGCCCAGGCGGGGCGTGCAGACGGCTCCCCTGGGAGGCTCACGGCCTGTCTCTCCTCGGTTTTGGCAGTCAGGGCCGAGACCTGAAGCTGTGCCTGTGGGACCTGGCGGAGGGCAGGAACGCCGTGGTGGACTCCGTGGGCCTGGAGAGCGTGGGCTTCTGCAGGGGCTCCGTCCTGGCCCGGGGTCAGCAGCGCTGGATGCTGGCTGTGCCCGGGAGAGGCAGCGACGAGGTGAGCGCCAGCCTGCCCAGCCCCCTGTTCACGAGTCACCGGAGACTCAGTTTCCCTACGTGGGCATGGGCATGGGCAGCCTCAGCGTTGGGTTGCAGGAGCACGGCTCTCCACAGGACCCGGCGAGCTGTGGGAGGTCTGGGTCTGACTGCTGGGTGCAGCTCCAGGGGCCTCGGGATGGGCCTTCATCTGGGCACCTGGGAGATGCTCCTGGTGGCGACAGTCAGGAAGGAGGCCCACAGGGTGACTCTGGGAGGACCAGGCACCCAGCGCGCTGCAGAAGGGTGAGTGGCAAGGCCTGAGGCATTCAGGGGAACTGGGGAGACCACCCAGACAGGTCCTCAGAGGACTTAGGAACAGGCACGTGTGCGGGGAAGTCCCCGGCAGACCAGCAGCAGGTGGTGGAAGGCAGACCAAGGCCTTGGTGAAGTTGCCCTGGGCCTGGGAGCCAGGGCAGCAGGGGAGGGGCAGCTTTTTGAGGAGCAGAACTGGATCCTGGTGTGAGAGGCCTCGGGTAGGGTTGGGGCTGGGGGTCAGGGCTGGCACTAGGCGGTGACTGCAGTGTAGAGGGACACCGGCGATTAGGGGAGCGTCAGAGGATGGGGCTGGAGGTTGGGGTGGGTATGACAGAGCCTAGTGGTCACCGTCAGATGGCGCTCAAGCCAGAGCGGCCAGCGGTGGTTGGCGGTGGCAAGGACTGCACAGTGGTGTCCACAGCCAGGGGACAGAGCAGGCAGAGTCCCCCACGGGAAGCAGCGCCCAGCACGTGGGGCAGATAGCAGGAAGCCTGGAAGGGGAGGAGGGTGTGGCTGTGAGGGAGCTGAAGGGAAATGGGGGGGGAAACCCAGGAGCGGGGATTGGCTGGAGGGGAGGTAGGGTCCCGCCTGGGTGGAGTGGGTCGGGGGAGGGAGCGGGAGCCTCTGCCTGCCGCCCACTCCCGTGTTCTCCCAGGGAGTCTGCCCGCTGGCAGCGCTGGGCAGGGACCTGCGGCCTGTGCACACGGGAGGCTTGGCCCCCGCCCAAAAGGAGCCGTTTGTCTGCAAGCAGGTTCAGTTCATAAATAACGAGATAGGAACAGGCATTTATTTGTTCACGATGGCATTTAAATCACCAATTAGGAGCTACATGCACTTTTCTTGCCAATTTGCCAAAAACCTGTTAAAGGTTTTATTAATGTGAAAGGAGAGAGGTGTGTTTCCTTCTGGAGGGCAGGAGCCGGGCAGCCAGCCTTCCCCCTGCCTGCACACACACAGCCAGCCGGCCCAGGGCCGAGCCAGCTCCCACCCGGTCCGGGTGCTGTGTGCTGGCTTCCACCTCGGCCACCCCGGGACTTCTGGCTGTTCTCATCCCTCCTCCTGCCCTTACCCTCCACCCCCCACCCTCCTCTCCCAGGCCTGGTCCCTAAGACCACTCACGCCTTCTGCTTGAGGCTGTTTTAACCCACCTCCTGGCTCCCAGCTCTGGCAGCATCTGTGTTTCTCAGGAGCAGCCAGTCCTAGGACCTCGCGCATCCTGGGAAAACGGTTCTTTTCCATGTTCCCACCTGGAATCTGCCTGGACGAGGCCCTGGGAAAGCATCGCTGGCCTGTGCCCAGACAGTGCCGGGAGAGGACGTGCTCCTGCCCCCCTTGGCCGTCTGGGTGGCCACGCTTGCTCAAACCAACTTTTTTCCTTCTGGAAAGAAAAGTTGCGGTTGAGTGCCAGATGGAAAGCACTCCGGCGCCTGCAGGAGGCTCTGGGCACAGGCCACTGGGCGGCCCTGGTCCTGGGGCCACGGTTCCTTGCTCTCCTTTCCCCACGCTCCCTCCCACGGCACCCAGCTCAGTCTCAGGGCTGCCACGTTCCCCCCGGAGCCCTTCCTTCCCCTCCTGACCTGAGCAGACTTGCTGTGTGACTCCCGAGCCCCCATGGGTCTTCCTGAGCCCAAAGACCAGGATGGGCCATTTCCCATTGACTGTGGGCCTGTGTGCCAGCCATCCAAGGTGTGACCTGTGCATACCATGTCCAGCGACATCTGCTTCCTCTGACATCCCTCTCCCTGTGGCTTCTCCTCCCGCTCCAGCCACTTAGCATCTTTTTATTTATTTTTTTTTTAATTTTTTTTTTAACAGAGGGGAAAAGAGAGGGATAGAGAGTTAGAAACATCAATGAGAGAGAATCATCGATCTGCTGCCTCCTGCACACCCCCCACTGGGGATGTGCCCGCACCCAAGGTACGTGCCCCTGACTGGAATCGAACCTGGGACCTTCCAGTCCGCAGGCCGACGCTCTTTCCACTGAGCCAAACCGGTTTCGGCTACATCATCTTTCTTACATTTCTTTTCATTTTGCTGGAACTTCTCCTCGGGCATCTGGGCTGCTCCAGGGTTCTTTTTCTGGCCGGCCTTTATTTCATGACCGTGACACAGTTCACGTCACTTCTGTTCTTTTCTGTCTCCTTCGTGGGCAGCGAGGGCCGTTGTCTGCATGTGTGAGGGTGTGTGTGTTTGTGTGCGTGTTCACACTGGCAGGGGCCCCTGGACTCACCCTTCCTACCGGTGCTGGGGCTGGGGCTGGGCAAGGCTTCTATTGAGGTCCCTGCCCAGAGCACACCCACAGCCCCAGCTTGTGGACATGCCACCCAAGCACAGAGGCAGGCATGGGGCACCTTGCAGGGCCTCGAAGCTGAGAGGACCAGGCCACGACATTCTCGGGCATGGCACCAGCACACACGCATGTGGCAGAACTGGAACTCAGACCCGGGACTTAACTCTGGGGCTCGGGCCCTTCTCCTGTGTGTGTTAGCGAGAGCTCCGCCATGCTCTCACAACTCGAGTTCACCCTGGTTCTCCCCGCTGGCGGTTCTGAGTTCTGGGCATCGGACAATGGGCCAGCTGTCCCCTCAGCATTCTCGACTCCTCTGAACTCAGACCCCTGTCTGCAAACCAGAGCATGCCTCCGTGTGGGCGAGGGGTGGCCTGCGGCTCCACAGTGGCTGCCCGTTGTTGCTGAGGTGTTGGTGGAGCTGCTCTCCCCAGCGCATGGGGAGCTAAGGGCTGGCCGAACCCCCAAACACGGAGCAGTGGACCTGCCTCTCATGGGGTCCCCTCTCCTCTTCTGAGCCCTGCAGGCAGGTGAGGGGGCTGAGGCAGGAGGGGTGCAGGTGTCTGAGAGCCCAGTGCCAGTCTATCGGGCTCCAGCTCTGAGTCTGCTCCTTTGACTTCGGCTGTCCCCTGCCGACAATGGGGACCGAACCCAGTGGACAGGCCCGAGTCTGAGCTGTCTGTGCGGGGCTCAGAGGGTCCCCAAGTGGTCCCTGGGCCAGTCTGTACCATTTGATATGCTGAGAGTGCGGATTCACTCCCTTAGAACCCGCGATAGGAGAGGGAAGCAGGCAGAGGCCGGGAGAGCAGGCGCACCAAGCAGTGCTTGGTGAGCCAGGCCTCCTGCCCAGCAAGGAGGTGAAACTGGGGAGAGGCCGGAGGCTGCCCTGGGCAGCACGCTTCTCGCGGCCACCCGGGAATGACGCCACGCACGTCGTCTCCCAAGGCGCGTACGTAGCCCTCGAGCCCACGAGCCTGTGCGGCCTAATTAGGCTGGGCTCCCAGGTTCCTACGGGGAGCAGACAGAAACTCGCCGCAGTCTTAGCTAATCGCCTTAAAAGTCTCTTGTTTGTATAGAACAGACTCGACTTGGCGCCGGCCCAAATCAACTTGTTTTCTTACTGTCAGATTCAGATTCTGGAGATGCCATCCAAGACGTCAGTGTGCACCCTGAAGCCAGAGGCAGATGCCAAGCCAGGCATGCCCATGTGCCTGGAGCTGTGGCAGGTAAGGCCCAGTGCACGCCAGCCACGCCCTGCCAGCCACGCCCGCCGGGCCGTGAATCATGCCCCATCCAGGATTCGGTTTGTCGTCAAACCAACAGGGCAGTGAGCCCCTCGGGAGACCTGCGCACACCGCTGCCACCGCCGCCTCCATCCCCGCAGCCCCCGTGCTTCGAGGGATGTGCATGCCCACTGCCACGGGGCTTCTGCCGTCCCCTGCAGGCCGGGCTGCGGGAAGGGGGCACCCCCTGCCAGTGCCGTGAGGGGGGACAGCTGGGTCAGCTGAGCTGGCCGCCTCTCAGGAAGGATTCCCCTTTTCTCTCCCCACCTCGTTCCCCTCTCCTGGACCTGCCCACCTTCACCAGAGGCCCTGACTTTCCTTGATGCACAGCCCCCCCCCAAAGGTCAGAGGTCAACCCTGGCTCCCCGTAAGCGTGCCCATGCCTTGGGTCACTGTGTTTGGCACAGCAAAGCAAATGGGTGGCGTGTTCGCTTAGAAGGCATCCTGGAGGCGTCCTGGTCGCGGCAGGGACCGTGGGAAGCAGGTCCCTGAGCGGTGTCCATCTCGGGAGCGCTGCTCAGGCCGTTTCTCAGCTCTTTGCAGCCCACCAGCACCTGTGGAGGGCCGCCCTGTGCCCGTCCAGGATCGGGAGCTGGCGGTTCCTGCCGGGCGCCTCCATGCCTGTTGGTACTCTTCCTGAGAGGCAGACCGATGGGCTCAGGCCGCGTGGAGAGGACTGCATGGCCAATGGGATTGCTGGTTTCCTCCTGTAGTTTCTTAACCAGTGACTTTCCAGCTGGAAGTCCGGGTCCCGGGCGAGGAGGTGAGGGAGGCTCCGAGGCTCGCTCGTCTGGGTGACACAGCTCCTGGCGCCAGCAGGTCCTCGGCAGACGCTTGGCGGGAATGCCCCGAGGCCTCGGTGCTGGGGGCGGGCGTGGCGTGGCGCTCACAGCCCCGGGCAGGGCGGCAGGGGCCACATCCGCTCACGCTCCACTCCCTGGAAGTGCTGTCATTGCGTAATCGTGTAAAAATTCCAGCAGAAAAATGTGTAGAAACGGGATGTACAAACTTGTTAAGGTGATTAATATAGTTGACAGGAGGACAAATCACGTTTTTGTTAGTTGATATGGATCCAACACAAAAGCAAGCTCTCTGTTAATCTTAAATGTCCCTTTTTTTTTTTTTCCTCTCCAAACACGGAGGCCCAGGCTCCAGTTTATTAGGCCTGAAATGGCATTTTTTTTTTTTTTTCTGAAGTTTTCAGATGCAGTCTCGTTTTATCCCTCAAGGAGGCTGACCTGCGTTGTCATGGTGATTATCACATAAAATGTCAGAATCAGAGTCCAGCCTCATGCAGAGTTACTCACACCCCCTTCAGAGCAATGGGCCCCACCCGAGCCGGGGGCTCCCCACAGGACCTCGGGGTGCCGTGGACAGGGCCTGCCTGCCTGCTGGGGTCCCTCCGGCAGGGGTCATGGAGCAAATCCTCACAGTCACTTCAGGCCCTCACTCCAGGGAGGTCAGCTTGGCGCTGTGGGTGTGGCCACCAAAAGCCTATGGCCACTGGAGCACTGTCCCACCCGCAGTCTGTCACCGGGGGGACCCACAGGACCCTGCATGCTGGGAAAGTAGCCAGAGTGGCCTGCAGTCAGGTGGGGAGTAGAGGCTGGAGCTCAGCATGTGGCCCCCTTGGCAGATGCTGGGTGAGGCCCTGCCCTGGCTGCCCTGGCAGTCGTCTGTAGTCCTGAGCTAGTTGAGCCGTTCGGAACCCAGAGGCACAGGTGGCCCAGGAGGCAGTCTCGCTGACCAGCCCCCCTTTCTCCCCGATCACCATCAGGGCTGAAGGCCAGGCCGGGTCAGAGCTGGAGGGGACGTGCTCAGTGATTTCTCACACTCCAGTGGGGCCATCCCCAGGCCATTCGGGGTGGGGACTGCCGAGACAAAGTGAAGAGATAAAGCATGGGACCGAGGAGTCCCGGAAGCAACCTGGGCACCTGTCCTGGAGGCACTTCCTGTTGGTAGTGTCTGGGGACCGGGCACCGAGCCTGGTGCTGCCACTCTCGGTGCCGGGGTGACGTGGAGCCCTGCCGTGCTCTCTGGAGTCGACACAGAGGCGAGATGAACGAGGCGTCTGCCCAGGGCGCGGGCCCTCTGACCTGTGCCCTCATTTATCACAATAGCTCAGCGCCGCCGCGGCTCACCCAGCCGCGGGCCGGGGCCGGGGGGTGGGGGTGCTTCCGCAGCGACGTTGACAAAGCACAGAAAGTCCATTTTTCATTGACAAAGAGCTCACGATTTTCTCTGGCTGGTGGTTGTAGACAGGTGACCGGCCCCGCCAACGGGCGGTGGGGAGTCTCAGGCCCGCGGGAAGGACCCCATGATCCCGGCAGGACCAGGGCTGGCAAGCAGCGGCACCGCAGTGTTAGGTGGGGGGCGTGCTAAGCTCTGTGCCCTCCCGTCCCGGTCCCCGGGGTGCCCCAACCGCAGCCCGCACAGGTCCTGTACCAATGGCATCATCCGCGGGGGGGGGGGGGGGGGGGGTGGAGCCTCCGCACTGTCACTGCCGGGTGAAGACCCTGGGATGCAGGTCCTCAGCGGGGCCGCCCCCAGGGCAGCAGGGGAAACAGCCCGTTTCCAGAGCCCCCCCGGTCCCCAGAACGCACGCACCGGGACCCCTCGGGAGCTGACTGCCGCTCTGTTCCCCGCAGACTGACTCCAGCGCCCGCCCGCACCTCCTGGCCGGCTACGAGGACGGATCGGTGGCCCTGTGGGACGTCTCCGAGCGGAAGGCGTGCAGCCGGATCGCCTGCCACACGGAGCCCGTCATGGGCCTTGACTTTGACTCCCAGAAGGCCCGGGGCGTCTCGGGCTCCGCGGAGAAGGCGCTGGCTGTCTGGAGCCTGGATGAGCAGCAGGCCCTGCAGGTCAGTGCGCCAGACCCGAGGTGCCATTTATCCTGCTCTGCACTAACAGTCTGATAGGCTGAAACAATATTTAGGCATGAAGAGGAGTTGTTGCAGATCGCCGGCTAATTAATCACTCCGAGGCGGGGTGCAGGCGGGCCTGTCTGTGGGGCCAGCGCAGGAAGAAGGGGGCGTGGGCGTCCGTGAACCGTTCACATGGTTTGGGTTTCCCTCAGACCTTGGGTTAATAGCAGTCACGTCTTGTCCATCTAGAGAAAAGGCATGTAGAGTCCAGGAGTAAGGACGCCAGCCCATTTGCAAAAACTCAGAGGAATTCGGTCAGCAAGGAACTGATTAATCAAAAAACGAAAATAGCCCGACGTGGAGAAATCCACGGAGTCACGCCCGGGTGGCGGGGTGCAAGCCGGCCCCAGGGAGGCCGTGCCTCTCGGGCAGCGGGGAAGGGCTGTGAGGCCTCAGGGTGGAGAGGGGAGTTGCTGAAAGCCTCCCCCTAACGTCCCAGGAGCCCTCACAATGTCCCAGTGGACCTTTCCAGCCAGCACCTGGGAGCCACGTCTGGGCCGTGCCCGGCGCTCCGCACGGCTTGGCCTACCCTACTTGGCCCAGCCCTGTTTGGGACGGAGGGATGGAGGGATGGCGTTTGGGGGCGGGAGTCCTCCTCCCCAGGCCTCACTCTGGTGCAGGTCCCAGGAGCTACAGGTCGTGGGGGAGGAGACGTGCCAGCTGTGTCCTGTACCTCCCGGCCCCCAGAGGGTCACCTAGGTGCACACCGGCTCCTGGGGGTGAGTGAGGAGCCCCATCAGCCAGGGAGTCTTGGGCTTGACCACAGCCAGCAAGTAGAAGCTTCTCGGAAGGGCAGCTCTGTGACCCAGGTCTGGGGGGAGCAGGACTTCAGGCGGCGGCAGTGGCAGCAGCAGCCCAGCCCCTGGCCTCCCTGGGCCTTCACCACTGGAGTGCTGGAGAGCAGGCCCGGGGCTGTCTCTGCAAGGCTGTGGTCCGGGCTTCCCACCAGAGACCGGAGGGCAGACAAGAGGCGTCTCTCGGGGCCCCTCTCCAGCTGGGGAGCCTTGCCCAGCAGCCTGCCAAGCCTGCCACATGCTTGCCCAGAGCAAGGGGAAGAGGCACTCTCAGGCACATGGGATGGAGGGGGGATGGGCCCCAGGTGAAAATCGGAACACACTGTGGCATCCAGCAGGCATCACCACACTCTGGCTGTAACCTGGGGGTGTGACGTGGTCACCAGGTCACCCCCAGAGGAACAGAGCGAGGACAGCCAGGACCCCTGGAGGGGGTGTCCAGGAGAGCAGTGACGTAAAGGTCTGAGGATAGACACTGAGGTCAGGCAGAGTGAGACTGGGAGGTGCCCCCCCCCCCACGTTACAGCTGAGGGGCCACTGGCATCCCAACAAGAACAGTCTTTCTGGAGAACCAAGGTTAGAACCAGAGCAGGTGGCGGCGGCAGCAGGGTTAGGCCATGCCAGCTGCCCAGGTGTGAGGCTGCCCCGGACGCTGCAGATGGGACCTGAGGGTTCGTCTCGCGCTCTGTGGGTCAGAGCCCAGCACGACAGGAGAAGGAGGGGGTCACATGTCATGTCTGGGGACAGGGCACACGTCCATCCTTCTTTGGCATCACTCCTCCCAATGTCCAAGCTTCCCTCCATCCTTCTGTCATCCCGGGAGCCACAAGGCCCTGAAGGAAGGGGGTCAGACAGGCCTCCCAGTGGGGCCAGGCCAGGCAGCGGGGGCTGAGCTTCGAGTGCCTTCATCCCGGAGGAGGGCCCCTGTGGACCTGCCGGGGGTGGGAGTGAAGGTCATAGCGGTGGCGGCCATCTTTACAAGGGAGCGGAGCCACCCCGGTGCTACATCTCCGTGTGCTGGGTCCTCAGCAGTTGAGTCAGCCTTGCTGAGGCCTGAGTCCTCCCCCCACTCCATGGGCAGCAGGGTGCTCCCTCACTCGCTCCCCTCCGACTCCTGGAGCCTTGTAGAGACCCACTCACTGTGGAGTCCAGTGCTCCAGCCCACTGCGCCTTGAACTTGGTCAGCCTGACTTCTCCGAGAGCCCAAGACTCAGGCAGCTTCCCTGAGGCCCCGGCCCAGGCCTCAGCGCTCCAGGGTCCCGGGTCCCGGGTCCCGGGAATGGGCCCTCCTGGCTCCGATCTGCCTGGTCTCTCCTGGCTCCCTGGAGAAACAGCTGCTGGAACTTAAGACTTAAATTTATGGGGCACGTTGCAGTCCAGAGATGAACTTTTTCCGTACCGATGAATTGAAAAGTTAAAGCAGAGGGCATTATAATGAATTGGAAAGTTCTAGCAGACGGTGAGCAGGCTCTGCAGGACGGCTGTAGCTGGCGTGGTGGTGGTGGTGGCGGTGCCTGGGCCGGGGCCTCGCCCAGCTGGGGAGGGCTCCTCCCGCTGAGCACGCCACCTCACCCAGGGACAACTGGGCACCGTCTTCAAAGCTAGTTGGGGCCGGAGGCCCTGGAGGCTTTCGGGCCCGTGCAGCGCAGGCCTCTGAGGAGGAGGCATCTGGGGGCCCCCAGGCCCTCATCGTCCACGGGCGTCCTTGCCCCAGGGCCCTGGGTACGCTGTGCCCGGCCCTACGGCGGGCACTGTGATGTGGCTGCCCACTGGCCCGCAAGCCACGTGGGCACAGATGCGCCTCACCTTTCGGCCTGCTGCTGGAGCCTCTAATGAGCCCAAATCAATCTCTCCCAGGCGGGCCCTGGGCGCGGAGACGCAGATGAGGTTTCCCGCAGCCGAGCGTGGGTAATGGGAACCAGATGGCGGCCGCGCCGCGCGCGCATTCCTGGCACCTGAGGTCATGCGCTGCGAGAGCCACTGGTGGCCAGGGCTCCTTCCCGGAGGGGCCCGGCCCAGGACAGGTCCGGCCAGGGCCGGGGCGGCGGCCGGAGACCTCGGTCACCCGCATCGGGATCCTGCAGCCTCCAGGACGCGCCGCGAGGCCAGGCTGCTCACCTGCCTCCCCGAGGTGCCCTCCGGGGCGCCACCAGGAGCTCCGGCCTCTGTCGTCAGACACAGGTGGTGCACAGACCCGCTCCTTCCTCCCGCACGTGGGGCAGGGCCCGCGGCCTTGAAGCAGGGGCTGATTTACGGCCGGCAATATTTTTAGGCCTTTAAATAATAATGAGCCCCCCCCCCCAGCCCAGCCCAGCCCGCCAGGACTGGGAAGCAGACTAACCGCACTCCCCCTCCCTGTGCCTGAGGCCGGCCAGGTGTCCCCGCTGCGTGGCCACTGCCCTCCCTCTCCTCGCCCTGCAGGGCCTTCTCTCCAAAGCGTTGGCAGCAGGGCGCGGGGGCAGGTTCGGGGGCGCCCACGGGACCCTGAGGGGCCTGTTCCTCCTGAGTGTATCACTGGGGAGAGAGCTGTGGCTCCACCGGCCTGTGGTACGCATCTCAGGAACACGGCGGGAGGGGGCCATGGTCACCGGGAACGCCCAGCGCGGGGGTCCCCCTGAAACGTCACCGCCTTCTCATGGCCGTGGAGAGCGGTGAGCCACAGGCCTCCGCCTCGCTGCTGCTGCTGCTGCGCTTCCAGGAGGGGCTGTGAGGGCGGCAGGTGGGGAGTCTCATAGCTGACCCCTGGGCAGCACTGGGCACCTCAGCCCTGCCAGGTGGCGATGCCGCCGTGGAGGGCGGGGTGAGAACGCTGGTGGCTCTGGGGTGAAACTCACAGGAGAGAAGCATGGGGGGCCGTGGCCATCAGCCTCTCGTGCCCGTTCCGGCCGCCAGCTCCCCGTCCATGCGCCTCGAGAGGGGCCTCCGCACACGGGCACACGCGTGGAGTTGTCCTCTCCACCCGTGCACGGTGGCTTCCACCACCACGGCCCTGCCCCAGCGCGCGCCCGCCTCGGCAGCCTGCGTGTGGAGCCAGGAGCGCAGGGCACGCTGAGCGGAAGCTGGGAGAGCCGCCTTGGCTGTGCGGTTTGCAAATTTTCATTCCCGGCTTAGGTTGTCTCCCACTCCTGGTGGGGAGAATCTGGATCTTGAGGCCTTGTTGGGCCATCAGACTCATGGCTTTTCTTCTCAGATCTGATAACTTAGTGAATTCTACTGTTCGGTTTCTGATGACATTGCATCAGGTGCACAGCGCCAAAATAACCGCTCCCCAGCATGTCCTCGGAGGGGCGCGGTCGGAGTTGGTCAGGGTTGCACCGGGGTGCCAGGAGCCCCAGAATCAGGAGGCAGGCATCCCCTCCCCTACCGGCCTCTGGACACGCTGACGGGGGCCGTTTCTGGGGTGGCTGTGGGTCAGTCCTTGCCTATTCCGGGGGGCAGGCGTGTTCCCCCTAGGGAAGGTCCCATATTCTTCTGGGACTAATTTAAGTGTCTTGATTTTTGAGTTAGTTTTATTTCCTACAGGCATAAAAATCCTCAAGGCGTTTTCATATTGACTTCTTCATAGGCGTTGGTAAGGACTGTCCATTTCTGCTGTGTTTGCAGGAATGTCCCTTTGTTATTCCTCCTCAGCCTTGTCTTTGTCGGTCTTTCTTTTTCTGTCCCAGCGTTTCTGCTCCGCTCTTCCCGCCTCCCTCCCGCGCCCTCGGACGCGCCGTGGCTGCCTGGAGCCGGGCGCATGACGCACTCGCTCCCAACCCCTTCTCAAAGCAGCCGAAGTCTGCGCCCCACATTGCACAATGTCGCCGTCTCCATCACCCCTCACTCCGGGCGGACCTGATTTTTATTTGTTCTCTGACTGCTGAGCTGATTAGAGTGTTTTTATGTTTCCAAATGTTTGATTCCACCCCCCTCTCCCTCCCCCCCCCCCAAGTTATTTTTTATTTTTCATTTTCTCGTTTAATTCCATTGTGGTCGGAGAAGAAGGTCTGAATGATATCAGCTCTTTGCAATGTGGAGGCCAGTCCAGTCTCATGAGTGCTCCACATGTGCTGGGAGGGGAGTGCTTCTCCCCGCGAGACACATGGCTATACCTGTGCGAACCGGGTCAGCACGGCACCCCCCACCCCCATGCTTGCGGCCCAC